TAACCAATTCTTTACGCTACAAGAGTTTTCTTCCTTGACGCCCCAAGGGTTTTCTGATTTTTTTTTTACTAGCGCTGCATTGCTTAACGATGAACCGATTGAAGACCGTTACATGTTTGGTAAAGATTTAGCTGTTTACAGTTATGAGTGGGATGTGCTAAGTATCACATGGTCTCTCGGACGTAAACGTTCTCTCTTTCATCGACTGCTGCATATGTTTATTGCATTTGATATATCAAAAAAACACCAAGAACAGTCAGGCTATCGGTGTGGATATCTCATGTCACTGTCGCCCTCACAGGCCAGGCGCACCTTTGTCAGGCTTTTCGATTATGCAGATCGACATATGACTTTAAATTACACCTGTCCATTGAGGCATTACTCCTTCTGTGGAAAAAGCACTTGGAATGCAGAAGAAGTTATTCGCTTTACGATATCTTTCCAGTGCATCGTTGTCGTCGTGGTCACGGTGGTGGTGCTGCTGCTGCTGCTGTTGTAGCAGCCGGTGCCGTCATGGGCACATCTGGCGGGGCATGGACGCCAATATCGCCGTCACATAAAAAAGACAATCTCTTGCTCCCTCCGTGAACAATGCATTTTACAAGTATGAGATAGTAGTTCTGAGATGGAGGGGGGAATGAAGGCGGTTCGGGATGGGGGGTGCGCACGGATTGATGCATGTTCGTACCATGTTGCGGCAACTTCGCCGCCTTCTTGACTTTACTTTTGCAAACGGCCACCGTCTCATTCCTCCCCTCGATACATTTTTGTTAACTTTTCAAGCAATTAAACCTCCTCTTTTTTCATCCGAAATCTTCCCACTGCTTTAATTTGGATCCGAAATTCCGCTCACTTTCAAAATGATACAAAGGCATTTGTCTGTCGATGCAATTCTTTGCGTTCTGGCATCTGCTTACTTTCCAAAAATAGGCCGAAGATGACGACTCTAGACCGTGTTGTCTTCCAGCACCAAATCGCACGCAAGACGAATCAGCGGACCGTTAATAATGAATCTTGAATCCTTGAGTAGTTTGTGGATTTTTTTTTTGGCAGTCCGCGGTGTTGTTAGTTTACCGAGTTTTCAAATAATGTTACGAAAATTATTAAAGCTCATTGGAGACCAGAAGCAGTTGTATGCTCTTGCACGTCTGAATTGGCAAGCGATGAGCAGAATGTGTCGATATATTCAGGAGATTGCTGCGGTTTGCCAGGATGCTGTAATTGGTAGGCTGATTTCTTGACTTATCCGTACATGCCAGATACGAAAAATTTTGAATTCATGAATATTCCATGAAATCAGAAACATTCACACTCACACATATGCATACATAAGTTTGGCGCACACAGTATACTCGAGTTGCATAAATCCCAGAAAATCTACTCTGTCAGGTTTCACTGAGAAACTCAAAGAAGGTCGTGAAGTTTCTCAAGTTGTGCACTCTGGCTTAGTGACCGTATCGGAACTGCAACAGTTCATTTCTGGGACGTATTTATAAGAAGAATCGCTATGTCACGGGATGAAAAACGGCTTTCGCGGAATATTAGGATGAAGGTGCCGGAATTACCATTCACATATTTGATAGGATTATAAGAGATCAGTATGTGTTTCATTCCTTAGCTGTAAACATAGGTGCAGTTATAGGCGCGGATAGGAGTCACAATAAGCAAGTTCAGCCTCTCACTCGCTACATGTGTTAAATGTGCATATGACTAAATTGCAAGACAAGGAGTACGAAAGTATGAGGAACTTGTTTTTATTCGTTTTGATGTACGCGGGTGTA